GAAGGGGCAGATTTTTTCGGTTGTGTACTTTCAAATTCTAGCTTACTCGAGCTGGTTTCTCCATTCTTACCTACCCTACATTTAAGAAACATATTATGAAATGACATTTAAAAACACTCATTTGAAAGCAACGATATCAAATGGCATTTAAAAACACTAATATAAAAGACACATTAAACAATATTTCATGAAAACCATGGCAACAATATCAAATCATTTAAAATGCAAAAGCTCTTGCGTAGTGTTACAGGAAAATCTGTTACAAAACAAGACTAATGGATAATGGGTTCAGAAATATTTTGTACCCTCTCCCATAACTGTTAAAACCTTAAAATAACAAGTGGCAATGATGAGTGTTGCCAAATTATGCAGAGTGACACCATTATCAGAAATATCTTAGCCGAGAGTGCACTTGTGAGTTTAAAACAGCACGCGACAATTTGTGTTGAGTAAATATTTACCGCCAGTGCAAAACAGAATCATCAAACCATCTAAATGTTATTCTCAATATTTATACCAGCAAGAAATGTGTGATCAATGGCTTCATTAACTGTTACATCCTTCGTGTTGTCTTTATCTCCCTTCAGACGTTTTTATGTTAGTGGTAAAACAAAAGTAAAAGAGAGATGCTTAACATTAATTTGCAATAATGCTTTGTAATGAAGACCAATCAATGGCCAGACATTAGGATATCACTCAAGGCAATCCAGAGACTCCCTTCGACTTAAGCAATTAAATTGTCCGTGAATCATTAATAAAGTGACAGATATACGGGTTAAATTAAAACATTTAATCACCACCAAATGTCTTAGACTCGATGAATTTGTCTCCAAATATAAAAAAAAAATCTATATTAAAAGATTGTTTTTGTCTCGCCGTGATGAGATAATACAACTGAATATAGAGAGGAAAGGGGGGAGAGAGGGGACCACTTGCAGCAAAGAACTGTTGGTCGTACAAATCCTGAACCAAACATTTCAAAAAGTTGACATAACAAATTACATGGAACTCAAAGAAGTCATTTATTGTATCAGTTTAATGATCTTTTTTTTCTCGTACAAATTAGGCAATCAATATCGTTCCGTATGAATCAGTTTAATCTGCATTGTATTGTATTACAGTTATTTGTTTAGAATGATGTGATGTAAAATATATTTAACTGAGATCTTTATTTTTCAAAACTCTGCATGCTCCTCCAGTGTAATAGGCACGTTCACACCGGAGTACTTTTCCCCGTACTTTTTCCGTTTGATTCCGTTAGTACCCCTTATTTTGTATTCACACCAAAAAAAGAGTCCTTAGGGAACTTTTACCCCCATTTTTTGTCTCTGCTAGAGAGGTGGTAGGCCTACTATCCTGGGGAGAAAAAAGTACCAATTTCTATTGGCTGGGCGAATTGCAAACCACTCCCCGTAAAACTTTGAAAAGTTTTGTGAAGCCGCCATTGTATTTGCTGGCATTAGCATTATTAGCATTAGCCCTCCGCACCAATGGAGAAAGAATAACTTATGGCAACACTAAAAAAAAACATGGGAGCGGTGGAGTGATGAGGAGGTGTTGGCGTTCTGGCGATTTACTCGGAAGGCTTCAGTAGAAGCTGCTGGGCCAGTCCCCAACTCTGGGGACTTCCGGCCGGGGACTTAGGGTGGCAGTATACGCCGTGAAGTCTGAGACTGCCAAGGCACGACA